AAAAAAAAAAAAAAAAAAAAAGAAGAAGAAGAGGGATGCAGATGAATATTATTGAAGTTATTGCCTGTGCTCTACATGAAGTAGAACTGAGCAAAAATGTTTATCTTGCCATATCACTAGTATAAGATTTAAGATTTAGTTTGGATGACTACATGCATCTATTAATACAAATGATAGCGTCACATATTAGGATGGTTGAAAGCTGCTTCCATCATATTAATTCTAGCCAGCCCTTCTTGTGAACTCCTGCCATGGATTAGCCTCTTATACTCTGGCTCTTACTAGTTTTGGTTTATCATGTTTGCAATGTAGGCCGTTGCTGATGATTCTGAGGGGTCAGTTGTGCATGCAGTTACAAATTCTCTTATAAACATGGAGCGTGCAAAGCCTGGATCTTGTGAAGCTCTTATTCGCAAGTTGCTTGAGCTATTGTCAAGGTAGCAACTTCTAACTAGCAAATACCACCCCGCCCCAAAATACCCAAAAAGAAAAAGAAAAAGACTCACATTCCTTAGTTCATCTCATCTCTCAAAGTCAATGAAACTCAAGTGGGGTAAATTTTTGCAGTTCAAAAGAATCTTCATTGAAAGAAATGCAAGTGATGGCAGCTAACATGTTCATTAAGGGCAAGACAGCATCTCAAGATACACAAAACATGACTGCAGAAGCCGAGAATAGGAAAAAGCAACAGCAGAAGGAGCTTCATACAAACTCCAACTTAAGCCCACTTGCAAGATTTCTACTTTCCAGGTAGGTTGAATGTTTATTGCCCTCTGGCAGCACAAGACATCTTCTAGACATTTTCTTTGAAATGTCACTTGTATTAAGAATTGCTATTCTTTCTGTTCAGATGGCAAAGCCAAGTTCCAAAGGATCTCAATCCAGCTTAAGAAAGAAGAGGTTAAAGTGATTACATCTTTGTTTTGTAGTGTGTTTTCTATTTTTATGCATTTATTCCAATTCAATGTACATAACATTGTAAGAAAATGGTGTATTTATTATCCATTATCATTATTTTTCTGTTTTAAAGTTTTGTTTTGCCGTGGCAGCAATTTGATGTATAATTAGATTTTGCTTAATACATTTACAAATGTAATCTTAATAATATTAATTAAGAACAATCTTTGGTGATGACTTTTTCATTATCCTCCTTGTGTCTAATGCGCCATTCTAAGCTTATCATAGGTTTAGGGTTTGACATATTGATCTATGTCAAGTTTTTTTAGCAGCTCCATCATCATGTATGTGTTGTTTAAATAAAGGTTTTGTAAAAGCATTGTTTGTTTGTGTAAAGATTTCGACAAATCTTGAATAATAGTTTAAATTTTTAAGTTTGATAAAAGTTATCAAATTAGAAAGTCGAAAATAAAGGTTTTGTTCCAAAAGTTAAATAAAATTTTTATAAAAGTTTTGTAATTTTAGCTTCTAACTCTTTAGAAATTTAACGAGGTTTTAGACAAACCAGAGGTGCTTTAATGTATTTCATCCAATTTCAAGAGTCATGTTCTAATGGTACAGAATTTGATCTTTTACATCAAAAAATTTTAATTTAAATTTAAAAAATGGATGAAAAAAGAGTTAAAAAAGAAGGTTATTTTTTACTATATATCTTATTATTTAATGTATCAAAAAATAAAGGAAGATGTGGAAGGCCCAAGAAAGGAGACAAAAGAAGATACACCTTTTGAAAACTGTACATTATAAAAGATTGCAAGGATGAGTGCAAGCAACCTGTCTTGCTGCTCAAAAAAGTAAATGTATTCCATTCAATTACAGCAATTGAAGAAAAGGAAACCAGTCTAGCTGTGCTAGTTAATGTTAATTAATGAAGAACCTCAACCATCTGGATTCTCAGAAACTGGCTAAATAGGCAATACACCTCACTCCCCTTGTTTGAGAAAACCGTACTAGGGGTCTGAAACAAACCAAAATCCAATAGACTCAAAATAGAAGAATATAAAACAGGAATTGAACAAGAAAAAAATTCAAATTAAAACAAACAACCAAGTAGAGAGAAGAAATAATCAGAATCATTATCATATACAGTTTAATTGCGGTTGGAATAAAGGACCCGTAATATTTTAATCAATGAGGGTAGGGAATGCTGCACTGAAGAATATACACTTTACCTAAGTTTGTTATCGCTCAAGCAGTGTCAATTTGACTAAAACAAAAATTGCAAAATGTTTGGGTAGGAGATATTTTATAGCTTTTACTCAACTGTTTTGTTTGTTTGGTGCAGGAGATGGTTCCATGGTAATGCAGAATTGTAGTATAAATTGTCAGTCATTGAGCCTCATGTTTTCTCCATTTTGACTATATAACCAGGCTGTAAAGAAACCTAGAACTACACCAGGACAGAAAGTTTGCTTCAACTCTATCCTTAAACATTGAAAAGCTAACTGCAATTTGCAAATCACAAGCTCTGAATGTAAATTACAAGCATTAGAGTGGTAAGACCCATCAGCTATTTTGTTGACACTCTTCAGCAGTTGCTGATTTCTAAAGCAAATAAGATTCGGTATGATTAAGCATTTCAGTAATTAGCAGACACAGTATGGACCGCAGCAATTATAGCATGGAAAAGAATCAAAATATCTCAGCCGTTGGTGACATGGCAACAAGACTGAGCTGGTTCTGCTCATAACAGGGTAGTCATGAAGAGCTCAACTCAGCTCATCCAAAGCATTTAACTTCAATCTTAGTAAAGAGTTAATTGAAAATTTTTCTAAATTGGCTAACAACTTGATACTAAAATCACTTTGCCAAGGTTTAGGCAGGCAGTAAAGATATGCTTCCCTTCTCAGAGAGCTATCCAATCAACAATAATTAGCAAACATCTATACCACAACAACATAGCATTTCTCATTTCACAGGTGTTGTGTCAGATATTAATCATATAAGCACATCTCAACAAGGAAGAATCATGGTTAAATAAGAGTAAAATCTATGCCACTTCCTGAAAGATGATCATGTTCTTCTATGGCAGGGGAAAAAAACTGCTAACCTGTTATAGTAAAATGAAACCTCCAACTGGAAGAACCCATCCTTTTGTTTTTCTTGATGCAACTTTCTATTTCTGTCTACCTCTGGAGGGTTGCTTTACTGGAGTCAGCTTCCGAAATGCAGCATGCAAAATCATAACTGCATGGATATATATAGAAATTATAAGCTTGCACAGCAAAGAGGCAAGAGACCAATAAAAAATACAGAAAAGAAACAGTATTCACCTGAATAACTGACACTGAGAGCACAAAATAGAGCCATTTGAACGTTCAAAAAAATCAGAAGGATTGCAGTAGCTGCAGGATGAAATGCAGTTAATATTGAGAAATGGCAAAAAACAGTTTCAATCTATCAACTGCCTTGCTATGACATTGAAACATTTAATTGAAAGTCATTAAGAACAGAAATTGCTGCAAAGAAAGAAGGGCAATCATAAACAAAACAATTAGAGAAAATAATCAGATAAGGTTATGGATGACCCAAAAGAAAAAAGATAGGATTATTTGCCAGTTCACCCAAAGGAATTCTAATATAACTAGAGATTTACCACAAGACAAAATATATGGTCTTAATTTTGTACTTTTGCAATTTCAGAATTTAACGATTTAACTCATTCTCCTAGTTATAAAGTATCCTAAAAGTAAAGCTATTGAAGCAGAAATAGGAAGCAACACTTACTATTTAGCTGCAAAATCCTAATATAATTCATATTTATCACCGGCATCAATACAAAGCAGATTAGAAGCTATAGCGCTACTCTTCATGCTTATTCTACTGTCAAGAACCCTCCCATTGAGTATTTTATAAAACTATTTGTAGCAGCAAACTCTCCTAGTAGAGCATCATGAACAAAGTTATATCCAAGTCCAAACCACTTCATAATTTTCCAAAGCCAAACTTCACGCATGAAAACTTCTCAACCTTTTAGTTTTCTTTCTTTTCTCCAGAAAATTGACACCAGGGCTCATTTGAGAATTGAGAGGACAGAATACAGACAGGGAGCAAAACTAATAGACCGAAAACAAAGAAAAATCAAGAGCCAGACTAAATTCATTTTCTGATTAATTTTGCTATCTGCTGTTTCAAAACATGGTTTTGGAATTGAAGCAATCTGTTAGAAATTTATGAATGTTTCTTCTTTTTCTATTTTAGGTTTTTCTAATGTAATGTATTTGGTGTTCAATTCAGTTTCCCATCCATCCTGAGAACATTGACACACATAACAAATATGATATGCCATTAAGAGCAGAAGAAACCAAAATCCTCATTTGGCAAAGACATCATATGATATGAGAGACTCAAGTTTGAAACTTCAGATCCTCTTAAGGTGGTACCCACTAAAAACCTTGATTTGGGGCCAAGGTCAAGGGTTCAAACTGTTGTGTTGCCAAGCAACTAACTTCTCCAATGTACCAAAATATATATATATATATATATAAAATAGCTTAGAATCACAAGGTCTAGAATGTTTCCACTTTTCCCTATTCTGCAATTTACTAATGCATCATCTAGATTTGGAGCAAAACAAACATGCCATCAGAAGGCTGCAGTGAAGACATATTAGCATAATTTATTAATTATCTCATTTTCCCCCTCTTTGTACTGTGTGTGTTCCATATGCAAAGGGGGAGAGTTCCTTCTGTACAGAATTTTGAATACAATATCATACAACTGAGAGCTTACCACACTGGGCTGTGAGGACTAGTATCTGCCGAGCCATTGGATAACAATCCAATCCCCACCTTTCGCTGCAGAACCTGAAAATGTCCCACAGTGCCAAGCTTGATATTAACCCAACAAGCGCCAGTGGCATCTGATACCTATTAACAAAAGTCAGGGAACAGAAAGTGATTAACCAGATAACAACAAGAAATTCAAAAATAAGTGGAACCCCTGAAACACAATAACATAAAAAATGCTTAGATATGCACCACGAAATTAGTTGATCTAATTGCAAATATAAGTCAATGCTTAATCTGAAACATCACTCTCAACGTAAGCCCTGAAGCCACCACATTCAATATCGATTTTCTCTTATTTTCTTTGATTTCCTCAGATGGCACAAAGTATATGGCAAGGAATAAATGCAAACAAATAAAACTAGATATCCAACACTCTTCAATAACTCTAACTTTTTCCCGCCCCACCTTAAGATTTCCTGGCAACCTAACAGAAAAGCAATCACCAAAATGTATGAAGCATCTCAACATCATCAAAACACCCACTCCCCGTCATTTGTGTACATCCCAAAGCCAATACACAGAAATGCAAAAATGGCAACAAAACAATTACTTTCGAATTTCACAAATATCAGCAAACACGGTCACCCATAAATTCAAAGTGAGGAAGGTTTAACATACAGAGAACAGGCAAAGAAGAGGATAAAAAGCGAGATATAATTGCGAGCGTAACGCTTAACATTCTCATGAACCCTGAGCTTCCCCTGAGACACAGAAGCCGGAAAGGAATAGGACCCAACATCCCCGAAGAACAAACGGGTCCAGGACGGAGTTTCACCGGAGAAATCGTCTGTGGTTAGCTTGGAGAAGGGATTAAAAATGACGAGAGATATCAAAATCCATACTTTAGAAACCAGAGACGCCAACAAACCGAAAATAAATTTAGTGAGTGAGGTTGTGGCGCCTGTCATCGAAGACGCTGGTGCGGTGGCCTCCGTCGCAGTGCTATGTTGGTTGTCGATGACATCGAGGTAGCCGGAATCCCGAAGCCATGAGTCGAAGGCGGTGTCGGCGACGCTGAGGGCTAATGGATTCGAGGAGAACACCATCGTCGGAGCCCAAAGTTCCAGAATTTTGGTCGGTATTTTCTTGGGGTTGGTGTTTTTCCCTTTTTTTCCATCTTAAAAAGAACGGCACCGGTTCTGCTCCGTCTCGGCCGATATCCCGTAAAATCATACGAGATTCTCCGCCGCCGTAAAATGCTGACGTGGCAACCTCGAGGAGATCTAGTAACTGTCGACCAACGATTAAAGTTCAAACTTCGGGAGTCCACGGAACAGTGAAGCTAACAAAAGAAGCACAGAGATGTTGTTGAGTCATTTCTTCAAACACCTTCCGTGCATATCGTGCCGCCGGCTCTCCACTCTCTCCCGCCGCTGCATTCACCCACCTGGGCCACTTTTCCATCCGCTCAATCTCCTCTTCACAAACTGTAATCCCGTCCACCAACCACCGGTACCCAGCTCCCTCCTCGCAACGTTTTTTGTTCCTTCCTGTTCGTATACTTCACTAACCGAACCCGGGTCGTCCACCGCACCTCCTTATCTCTCCGTTCGCATTCGCTGCCGGAAAAATGTTGCTGTAAGCCTCTTAGGATTACATCTTGTGTTACAGTAATTATGTATGTGTGTATATGGTTTGGCTTCTGTCCCGTGGGGGTCTCTTTCATAAAGGGTGTGACTTTTTGTTTTTAGGATTCACTTTCCGACGCCCTTCTGGAATTTGGTGCAAGTTCTACCAGTATGGATGAAGATGATAATGCAAAAAGCTCAGATGAGGTTGATCACCATTCAAAGTTACAATCCTTAGTTTCATCTTTGGTGTTGGGTTTCTCTAGTCTGCATTAACTTATTTAATGTGTGCTACATTGTTCTCAATCACCTTATTTTACCTTCTTATATTACTTGTTTGTGTATAATTCTTAGGCAAATAGCTGTTTTTGGTTCACTTGTAAAAAATAGGGTCCACATAAACCACCCAAGGAAAGAAAGATTGGAGCTTTGAGGTCTAATTTTGACTTGATTTTCTATGCAGATTTGCATTGATTCCATATTTCCTGAATGCGAAGATGTAGATGCAAGTATTTCTGAGGCTGCTAATTCAATAGGCTTAAAAGATATACCAAGTTATAGAGTTAAAATGGGGGAGCAATATGACTGGGTTAAGAAAACTCAGGTTAGTTTCCCATTCGTATTAATGAATCAAGTGTTTGCAAAAGAAAAATGAAGAGTACATCTGTACTAGCACTCTTTACCAATTCTGCTTCTTTATCTTTGATCTCCTTCTCACAAGTTTGTAGTTCAAATGAAATTATGTTGGTCCTTTTTTCGTGTTCATTTCTTTATTGGCAAGGACAGAGGAGGGTTTTCTTCGATTTCTTTTTCTGCTATTGCCTGTTGAAATAGTGATTACCCGATCAAGTAGTCTTGACAATGTATATCTCAAAAAGGGAGTATAGTCTCTCTCGTCAAGAGTCTTCCTTCTCTAGCTTCCTTAAGGCCCTGAAAATAGATGCATGGACAGTAGAATTCATTAATTCAGGCTTGGCAGTGCTGTCTACAGAGCTCTTCACTATCATAGCTTTTAGTAACAGCCCCACCAATGTGAACTCTATTCTCTATATGAATAGCTATGAAGTTATTTATATGTAACTGGTTTCTTGGCAGTTATGTTTATTGCTCCCTAAAAGATAGGGATGTTAAGTACTGCTGGTAAACTATAATGTAACTAATAATAATTTTTAACTTTTCTTTTTATTTCTATGTTTGATGCAGGAGTCTTTTGATCCAGTTGAAGTAACAGAAGGACTTTGGATTGTGCCAGAGTGGAAAACTCCCCCAGTATGGTTATTTCATTTTTCCTTATCTTAAGGTTTTATTGCAAACTTTGCTCATCATATAGGTAACTTCCTTCTTTGTTGCTTGGGGGGTTTTCCTTGTCTTAAGGACTTTGTTGCTGATGAAAAAAAAAGTAACTTCCATCGTTGTCGCTTCAATGAACGCTGATGAGCACATAGTTAAGTCTGTGTTTTATTGTCATTTGAACTCCTTTTGAGTAAAGAGAAAACTACAAATATGTTGAAAATCCTACTTAATACAAAGAATGTGCACGCCATCTATGCACATATATTGAAGTTCAACTCCCCTCAATGATAATGCTTTCCATTAATGATGCAAATGAGAAGGAGAAGTGGTATCAGTTTACTCAGAAAATATTAATTTTTCAAATATCACTGGCACATGGAATAATTATAACAATGTTTGCTTTATTCCTTTAGGTTGATCAAGCAACAAATATAATTCTGAATCCTGGACTGGCATTTGGAACTGGGGAACATGCCACTACTAAACTGTGTCTTTTGCTTCTACGTAGATTGATAAAAGGAAGAGAGCTCTTCTTGGATTATGGCACAGGTTCTGGAATTCTTGCAATTGCAGCACTCAAGGTTATTATTCTTGGTTTTACTCTTACACCTTTGGTGACGGTTAACAAATATTTTTTTCCTTATAAAAACAAAAACATTCTACCTTTGGCTTTGAACAATAGTCCATCGGCATCTATTCTATCTTTTCCTTTCTGCCATGTATTTTGTACGATTTCCATCTTGCCATTAAGGTTGTCATTATTTGCTTTGGTTTCATTTTCTTACTCTGTCTTTAATTAATTTCTAACAATAATAATTTGAATTGCAGTTTGGTGCTTCATTATCTGTTGGAATTGATATTGATCCCCTAGCAATAACATCTGCACGTCACAATGCTGCTCTGAATGACATAGGTCCTGAGAAAATGCAATTACATCTAGTTTCTACCAAAACCTTCCCTGACTCAACGAATGAACAAAAAGCCATGGAAGAGCAGACTTCATGCGGATCGGGAATCATATATGAACCAGAGAAATATGATGTGGTCATTGCAAATATCCTTTTAAACCCATTGATGGAATTGGCAGATCATATTGTCTCTTTTGCTAAGCCTGGTGCTGCTATTGGTCTCTCTGGAATCCTATATGAACAGGTATTCTTTCAATATAGATTATTAACCTTTAACTAACATCATAACACTACGTTAGCGTTCTTGAATGTATACAGTTTTTGACATTGGAAGTTCATTTTTTCCTAAAAATGTTACTGTTTTTTGGCAAGCATATCATAATAAGCGATATTATCATGTCTTTCTACACAAAGGTTCATCATGCAAGAATGCTATTCTAATTCAATGTGCGTCAACCTGCTTCTGAACCGTTGTCTTTGCTGCAGCTTCCTGATATCTTAGATCGATATTCTCCATTCTTGGATGGCATATCAGTGGATGAGATGGATGACTGGGCCTGTGTAAGTGGCAAAAAGAAAAGAATTCTGACTGGAATTTGAGAGTATGTTGGGATTGAG